TAACCCAAAATTTCTCACAGATCCAGACCCTGATAAGAGGGCAGTCACAGACATTATCCCAAATTTATCACCAACACTAGAAGGCTGCTAGAATTAGAGGCACTTATAAACAATCCACCCAAATGTTGGAGAAAAACATCTTTAGTTCTCTGCTAAAAAAAAAAAAAAATAATAATAATAATAATAAAATAACTGAGGTTATAAATAAGGATAATTATCCTACAAGATTGTTTAAAAGCTTATTCATGCATGATCCTAGTTCTTGCCAATTCTCATTATTATGTTATGTACATAGAACCTAGTTTTATGGTTGACATGACATAGCCCAAGTTTCTAAACTCCATCTTAGAAGCCTTATCACATTTTCTCTGCCTTCATTCTAGTAGGGAAAACATATTTGAAGAGCTCATTATACAATTTAATATTCTCCTATATAATAAAAGGCAAATTGACCGAAAGGCAGAGTGACCAGGCGCTATGATATGCACTAACCACCAGGGGACAGATGCTCAACACAGGAGCTGCCCCCTGGTGGTCAGTGCGGAGGGTGGCTCAGCCAGAAGCTCTAAGCCAAGCTCACGGCTGACGAGCACAGCAGCGCTGGCAGGAGCCTCTCCCACCTCTGTGGCAGCGCTAAGGATGTCTGACTGATGGCTCTGCAGAGAGCGGACCTAAGCTGTCTGTCAGACATCCCCCGAGGGCTCCCAGACTGCAAGATGGCACAGACCGGCTGAGAGACACCCCCTTCCCAAGTGCACAAATTCCGTGCATCAAGCCTCTGGTTTAAATATAAAATAGTTTGAGAAAGAACAGAGATAAAGTAATGGTAAAAGGAGTAACCATCCATACTCCTGCAAAAGGATATTGTTCCCCAAAATTGTCCATCAAACTTTTTTTCACTTCTTATGGTCTTACCATAAGGAATGTTTGAAGAAAGCAGTCTAACTTCATATATGCTATTAAAACTTAAAACTTGTATAGAGAGAATATTTTCATAAGAAAAATACTGGGAAGTAATTAAGACATTAAAGTAAAACTTAAAAGAAAATTTAAAAATCTATTCTTGATAACATTTCAATCACTTTGCTAAGTAATTGAAAAAGTCAGGTTGCAATCTTAATTAAGTTCTGCAGAGGGAGCTAGCACCATAAGGAATAAATTTATAAGGCAGAACTTCAAGAAAAGACCTAGCCTGTTGGAAATATTGGATTTCTATTCATCAACGTGAGCTCAGAGGTTTTACCTTTGCCATAAAAAACACAGAAAACCTACAAACTAGGGCACAGTTCTAGTGAGCCATATTAAAACTTATAAAATGTAATATCCATATAAATACCTTCAAGCACTCTGTGAAGTCATTATATTTGTTTTAAATAATATCATTCCTCCAAAAATGTAAAAATATTCTTTCCAAAGTCACTGAACTTTAGTCAAAGTAAAAAGCAACAAAAAAGGTCTAAAATCAAATCACAGTCTATCCTTTCCTTCTATACAAGTTAGTCTTTCCAAACCTGTTTTTCTATAAAATGAGAATATACATGTACCTCAAAAAATTGCTGTGAAAATTAAATTAGAGCATGAAAGTAATTAAAATGATGTTCTCTTCTCTTGTTATTTAATACATAAGTGTTATTTAATTGCTCAATACTTTCAAAAAAGAAATCAATAACTATATTCAGTAGAGTAAGTATTTTCAAGAATTAGATTAGTTGCTAATAGATACTAAAATTTCACCTAACTCCCAAATCCGTATAATCCTCCAAAAGTCTAATTCAACCCTTAAGGGTATATGGACAGTGTTGGCATACCCTTTCTTTATTTTTCAGTTAGATATCTGTCATAGTTTCAGCATCCAAATACTCCCGTTTGTTTTAGAGCCAGGAGAAAATAAGTCAACACACCAGCAGTTTCTGTTCTCTCCGTTCCATACTCATCCCACCTAGTATTCACCCCATAGATATCACATAGTAAAACACTGTCAAGTAAATTGTTCACTGCAAAAAGATAAAATAAAATCAATGAACTACACATGGACTGCGAAGCTCTGAATAAAGTTCCAGAAAACACCTTACCCTTCCCACGCCCCGACAAAATCAAAGAGGGAGAGAGCAAATAAGACCATTACCCTTTTTGTCTCTAAAGAATTGTATGCTAGAAACTCAAACTATACCCACATGGATAGGAGTTAACTAGGAAATAGCTAATTTAATAAATCATCTGCAAAATGGATAATAAAACAGCAAAGCACTAACGTAAACTCACAATGATATTTGAAAGACATTTTCTCCAAGAGCAGAAGCCAGTCCAAGAGGTTTTTATAAACATCATCGTACTCACCAAAACCTACATCCCAACGAAGCTTTACATGATTCTTTATAGTTCAAAACTTTTTCATATATATAATTCCATTTAAACTTTCCCTAATGAAATAAAATAGAAGTATCACAACTTTACAAGTAAGGGTATTAAATTCAGATTAAGTGATTAAACTAAACCATATAGTTTGATACTGTGTTAATTTCCCAGAATTTCCTTCCTTATATGGTTCCGGTTAGGATTAACCACAGGAGAGAGTTGTATACAATTTGGGAGTAAAGCAGCTGCCATTTCACTACAAAGGTAGTTAATGGTTAGAGGTAGTGAAAGACAGAGGAAAAGGGATGGGCAGTTTGTCCTATTTACCCGACTCTACCCCAGCTCAACTTTCCAACCAGGCCCAGGCCTATCACCAGACGGTCACTGAAAACCCACACAGGTGGTACTGCAAAAGCCAACAACCCACCCACCCACCCCCTTCACAGTTCCTTCAGACACGCCTAGCTGCTTCCTACAGCTCCAATTCATGATCCTACACCAAAAGTGGTGAGTTCCTTTTGTGCCTTTATTTCTCTAGTTTTTTCACAATTGAAAAATCATTTAATTCCTATAATAAATTCCTTATTTCTTAATACTCATAGCAGAATTGAATCCTAACAGATACATCAAGATTACAGTCCATGGCAAACTCATACATAAACTACATTTTTTCTAATGCCAAGGACAAGGCACCACAAATTTCTTCAAAGCATTTTAAGATTTACCACTAATGACAAATATTTTTTATTTACCTATCACAGTGGTCGGCAAACTCAGTCAACAGAGCAAATATACCTCATATCTAGAATAGCGAAAACTGCTTTTAAAAATCCATTTTTTATCTTGGCAGCTATCTTAAAAAAGTCAAGTAAATAAATGTGAATCTTTTTTAAAGAGGCCTTCCCCATGCCTTGTATAGTACAGCACACCAAAAAACAATCCTCAGCTATCACGTTATTTCAGCCTGTGTTAAGTGGCACAGATACTTCTGAATTTATTTATATTATCTTTGGTATTTGTCCCTGACTCCAGCCAACTTTTAACTTTCCTTATCTTAATCTTTATTCAAGATAATATACAACTTAGCTATTCATAAAACAAAGAAGTTTATGGAAACAAAATGGTACCATAACTGTAGCTATGTCCAATAAGAAAACCCCACAATTATAAAATTTTCAATTATTCATATATAAAAGCCTCTGAACACAGTTTGGGTGGTGCGGGGTCTCTGAGCGGAGCAAACAGCAATGGCTATCATTCAGAATTGAAGGTTCGATATTCTTATATACTCTAAGTAACATAGTAAAATCTCATGCTATCCAGCCCCATCCCACCCAGGACATGAATCATCCCTTGGCCCAATGCATTACCAGATCCACCATCACAGTATCACAGTGCTTGTGTTTGAGTAAACCTTATTATAGCCTACTGTTATGTCACAATGCCTACGTCATTCACCATACATCATCTCATCACATAAGCACTGTATCATCTCACATCATCATCATTAGAAGGGTGAATATAGCACATTGAGATAGAAAGAAGGAAACCTCATTCACATAACTTTTATTATAGTATGTTGTCATAATTATTCTATTTTATTAGTTATTATTTTTGACCTTGTGTCTAACTTATAAATTAAACTTCACCATAGAATGTGTGTATGTTTGTGCATGTGCATGCGTGTGTGCGTGCATGTGTGGTGTGTGTGGAAAAAAAATAGTATGTATAGCATTTGGTGTTATCTGTGATTTCAGGCATTCACTGCAGGTCTGGTAATGTATCCCCCAGGGAAAAGGTAGGGCTACTGTATTATCAAGTGTGGTCCAATCTGTAGTTTGCCTCTAGTTCCTCAAATTCTTAACTCTATAGTATTATTTGATGTGAGGTAGTTGCATAACAAGATTATCAAAACTTTCTTACAGCACAATGGGGGAAGGGAGGAAAGCAGACAAGCTAGAAAATTGAAACACACAAAATATTTTTAGCTTCCCTCTCAGACAGTCTTATGATACTATAAAGGTTAAGGTACTGTGAACTTAAAGAATTCCCAAATTAGTAATTTTTAATTAAAAACTTCACAGTTCCTATGAAGTAGTAATTTTTAAAATACCACTGTAGAACAGAAAAATAGGGATGGAGAAATCCCAGAATCACATATACAGTTATTTTTATCTGAAAGATAGAACCCTAAGGACATTAAATATCTAAAAAGAAACAAAATTTTATTCACATTTCAGACCTTTTGAAGTGCTTTTACCTATGCTAAATAAGGACTAGGCATTTTTTCATAAGACAACGAAAGAAAAACATATATTTCTCTCTATCATAAGCATGAGGCGGGGAAGTCAATTAAGTAAGAGCCAAAAATTAACAGTGACAATTTAATATTTTATCTAGGGAAAGAAAATGAAATGACCTATTTCCCAATTATGGAATACAATACTACATATTTTAATGTGCATACAGGAACAATTATTTCCTGTTAACCTTACATAATATAAATATCCTAATCCTATGAGGATTAAAGTCATGGTGTTAATTATACCTTTATATTTCATATAATTTAAAAAATCTGATTATTTATGTACATCTACTCCATTGACAGGGCAAACTATGTACAATCTCCAATTTAATGCACTTACAGTTCCTTGTGCTTGTCTTCAGCCAAGATTTGGTCATTTGCTTTAAGAGAATACCTGTAAGAGAGAACAAAAATATAGTGGTCATATGAACATACAAGTATGTTTGTCTAACAGACATCTAACTATAGAACCTATCAAAAAAGTACTATCAGCTGAAACCGGTTGGCTCAGTGGATAGAGCTTCGGCTTGCGGACCAGGTTCGATTCCGGTCAAGGGCATGTACATTGGTTGCGGGCGTGGGCAGGAGGTAGCTGGTCGATGTTTCTCTCTCATTGATGTTTCTATCTCTCTATTTCTCTCCTGTCCTCTCTGTGAAAAATCAATAAAATATGTTAAAAAAAAATAAAAATGAAAAGTACTATCACACTGTTACAGATCTCTGTTTTAATCTGTACAATGTAAAAAATGCCCAAGTTCTTTGCTGTTCAATTAGTCCAACACACCACAAGAATTAAAGAGATCAACTTGACCATGCTTTTCCAACACAAGAATGTAGTGAATCATCTGTAGTTACTCATCTAGCAGGTCAAATTCAAAAAGCTACAACAATGGTAAGTATTTAAGAGTTCATTAAAAATATGCAGTTATTCGCCCTGGCCAGTGTGGCTCTATTGGCTGAACACCATCTCATGCACCAAGAGGCTACTGGTTCAATTCCTTGTTAGGGCACAATCCCAGGGTGTGAGCTCAATCCCCTGTAGAAGGTGTGCAGGAGGCAGCTATCAATGATTCTCTCCCTCTCCTTTCCTCTCTTTAAAAATTCAGTAAAGCATATTTTTAAATATGCAGCTATTCATTCATAAAACACATAGTAACATCTACTATATGCCAGACTATGTACCAGGTAGTGTGACACTGGAGAAAAAGAAAGTTTTGAAGTTCCTGACTAAACCATTTAGTGGCTTAATGAATATAAGCAATTATTTCGCTCCTTTACATCTCAAATTCCTTATCCATAAACTAGAGGCCTGGTGTACAAAATTCATGCAAGAGTAGGCTCTCCTTCCCCAGACACTGGCTTCCTACTGGCACCCAGGACCCGGGCTCCCCTCTGATGCCCCAGCAGGCATCAGAAACCCAGGCTTCCTTCAGCTTGGTCAGAAAGGTTGTCCATAATATGCAGTCTAATTAGCATATCACATTTTTATTATTCTAGATTAGAAGTTGCTATAAATATTAGAACAGGGATCTTTCAAATTACTGTTGAAGATAACAGAATTTCTAGAGTATATTACTGAAATAGGTTAAAAAGCAATGGACAGCAATTCCCAGGTTCTGACACAATTTCCACTTGTATTCCATCCTTTCCTAAAACTAATCTACCTGACAAAGGGTCAGAGGTCCAAGTGGAGTGACCATGTAGACTCTCCTTTCTTGCCTCTCTTTTCTCAGTACTTTTATCAATAAAAAGAATATCATATCTATCACCCACCCTGAATAGACCTATATTGCACTGCGTAGTGTGTAAAAATCTCTGAAGTACACAGCTAGGAATGATTCTTATTTTGTCCACAAAGCCTTCCTTAATACCACAAACTGACTACAAACTTCCTGTTTTATACACTGTCTCTATAAAGAATGAGGCCAGAAACTACAAATGAGGAACTGTGATAGTGTGTTCTATTTGCAGACACATAACGGAATGGGGTAGAAGTTGGTTGCAATTTTCATTTAAACAGTTTCTCTCTTCCATCCCATATTCATCACCAGAGAATGCATTACTTTTCAGAAGGAGTCCTATTAAACAACAGTAAGACAGTTCCCAATAAGAAACAGGAAAGACAGTGTCACCTTATTTCTTTCAGGAAACAAACTTTAAAAAAGGCTCCTTCTCTTCCACTTATCTATCGAGGTTTAAATATCAAAAGATGGTTGTCACAGAAACACAAATCAAGCCATTAATCTGAACTGAAAAATGAGGCCAGATCTTTTCTATCATGAAAATAAATCTGACTGATTTAACAATGAAAAACAATTTTGCCAATAAGGCTCCAAGGCCTTAAATTGAATGAATGCCTTTAAAACAAATTTAAGATACTTGATAAAAAACATTTTATCCAAAAAAGAATCCTTTTGACAATGGCATATTGAAATTAACGATATTTAACTTTTACCATCACCTTCTGAACTGTTAAGGTTAACATACAGCCGAAACCGGTTTGGCTCAGCAGATAGAGCATCGCCCTGTGGACTGAAGGGTCCCAGGTTCGATTCCGGTCAAGGGCATGTACCTTGGTTGCGGGCACATCCTCAGTAGGGGGTGTGCAAGAGGCAGCTGATCGATGATTCTCTCTCATCAATGTTTCTAACTATCTCTCTCTCTTCCTCTCTGTAAAAAAATCAATAAAATATATTTTTAAAAAAAAGTTAGCATACAACTATAAGAAAAAACCAATAGACATAATTACTAATTATTTAAAAAGCCTTCATAAAGCCAATTTTGGTAGACTTCCCAGGACTGCATGACTCTAATAATGGTTTCTAATTCTTTGCTTCCAACAAAAATGAAGATGAACTTAATCAAATTATCAGCTGATAAATAAAAACATGATAGAGTTCAAATAATTGAGTGATAAAGCTGAAACAAAAATCTGTTACCATCCAAATTATGTCAACTTTTTTCTCAGCACTTACACCTCTAAATGAAGAAAGGGAAATAAAATGATGTTGAACATTGTCTTATTGCAGCAATGTGTAATATTCATCCACAAAAGGTTAACTAAAAATAAAGATTAGCTTTACCCATGTCATCAAAAAGCATTTCCCATAACTTCATTTTCTTCTGTTTCATAAGTACTTAACATTTTAATACACTTATGTTGTTTTACTAACTACATGCTAATTATAATTGAATGACTAGGAGATATTTTTTTAATATATATTTTATTGATTTTTTACACAGAGGAAGGGAGAGAGATAGATAGCTGGAAACATCGATGAGAAACATCGATCAACTGTCTCCTGCACACCTCCTACCAGGGATGTGCCCACAACCAATGTACATGCCCTTGACCGGAATCGAACCTGGGACTTTTCAATCTGCAGAATGATGCTCTACCTACTGAGCCAAACCCATTTCGGCTAGGAGATATTTTTTAAATTCAACCTACATGCCTATTTTTAGTGAAGAGACTTGGCAGGGTGATCAATATGCATAAAGGCTTTACTGCATATATTATTTTCATAATATACTACATGCAAAATATAATTCCTACATAAAAATGCATTACATAAGAATAAAATCTGGTGAGGAAAAGCATAACATAAATACAAATTTGAACAGAAAAAAAGTGTAAAATGTTAAAGAGCTTTTTTATTTAACACAGTGTCACTGCAATAATTTAAGAAAGGTTTTGTTAAACTTTCAAAAAACAAAAACCTTATTCATGTATTTTTGGAAATGTATGGTTATAGGTATCACACCACTGTTATTTGTCAATTTTACTTAACATTACAATAAAAAGTCATAATTATTAACTTAATGAGAAAGTACTTCTTTATCAAAACATTTTTACATAGGTTAAAAAGCTTGAAACCAGTGGATTTGACAATATCTATCTTGCAGCAAAGTGCTTGGTACATATACAATAAGAATTCGATCAATATTTCTTTCTTTATTTTTAAATATATATGTTATACTGATTTTTCACAGAGAAGAAAAAAGAGGCGTTGAGAGTTAGAAACATCGATGAGAGAGAATCATCAATCAACTGCCTCCTGCACAGCCCCTATTGGGGATGTGCCAGCAACCAAGGTACATGCCCTTCCTTGACCGGAATCGAACCTGGGACCTTTCAGTCCACAGGCCGACGCTCTATCCACTAAGCCAAACCGGTTTCAGCTCTTTCTTTCTTTAGCTGGCTAGTGAGAAACAGCAAACATGTCTGGCTTAAAGACCTCGCAAATCAGAATAAAATATTTAATCCAGAGTTTATACTGGAGCTTCGCTCCCTAAGCAAGGTTAATCAATTGCTTGCCCAAGTGGTTTAACTAGGTCGCCAGGTTGATTGACACCATATGATCCAAAGCCTCACCTTAATTCATATAACTGGTCACACTATTGGGTGTAGCCAACCCCTATCTTAAACAAAAAGATACTTCTACATGTATGATATAGATTACATCCCAGGAGCTCAGAGCAAAGGCAAGATCTTTCTTTGAGCAAGGCCAAATTCTTTATACATGCCTATGTGCATGTTTGTTTGCTCTATATTGCTGTCTTAAATATTCTAATTTAAAAAATGGAATATTGATTTAGTTTGAAAATCAGAAAAAGGCACTATTAGAGAGAGGTGATTTATTCTTCCAGACAATTTAAATACCTTTCCAAAGTTCATACAAATAAACTCCATATTTACAGATGGTTACTTGTAAGGGAATTAAAACTTGATTAAACACCTTTAAAAATGTACACCAGAAATAGTTCACACCTACAATTGTAAAGTTATGCTATAAACTAAAACAACTGCTTAAAGTTCATTTTGAAATAGGCAGATTATAAATTATAATTACAAATGTAAAGGTAAATATAACATCAGGACCATAATGAAATGGAGCTGTTTTTCATTGAAATATACATTTAAATGTTTAAATGTGGGTTTATAATTACACATAGTTTTCATTTTCATTTAGTATATCCTGTTATGCCAACCTTACTACTGATTGGCAGAACAGAATATATAGAGCCTTTTGAATCCCTTTTTCACTTTAACTTACTCTCTGATCATTAGATGTTTTATATTCATAAACTTCAAAGAGAAAATTAAACTTAGTAGAAAGTAGAAAGGCATACCTCAATTTTCTATCATGTCTTTCCCAGAATGATACAAAGCATACCCTATTTTTAAGTTTGGCTTTGTTTCCTAAACATATCCATTTCTTTGATTCAAACATGAACGTAGTCCCTAAAAAAAAACAAAGATAGTCCTAACCAGTTTGGCTCAGTGGCTAGAGCGTCAGCCTGTGTCCCAGGTTCGATTCCAGTCAAGGGCATGTACCTTGGTTGCAGGCACATCCCCAGTGGGGAGTGTTCAGGAGGCAGCTGATTGATGTT